TATACATGCAAGGTGAGGAGAAATTGCATCCTGATCTCTGTACGAGACTACAAAATAATATACCCTAATTTTGAAGCAAGCTTATGTCATGCGTAAGCGGCTTACATTAGCTATCAAAGAGATACTTATCTGTATTTATAAAGCAATTATAATATAAATTATTAGCTTGAATTATAATAAATATTATCAAAAAATGCTTGTTGGGTTGTACTTAAATGTTTTTTTTCTCTCTTTTATAATCTAATTGCATAATGGTTGAGTTGTTGAGTTTCAGATGACCTTAATTTAGAGACCATCCTGTTGTGTTTGAAGTAAACATTCAAGCCAAAAATGTAAGTAACCAGTAAGCTCTACTTTTCTTTTTTAATCAATTAATAAGTGGTATCAAATTATATGTGTAATACATTCCTTATAGATAAAGACAATAAACAGTTACTGAATGTCTGTAATTTTATGGAACTCAATTTTGACTGCCCTTCACCCAAAAAGAAACTAAGTAAATAAATAAATAATAAAATTAATAGAGAAATTAACTTAAATATATTTTTCTTTCTGGCTTTTTAAAATTTATATCAGCTCAAAGATGAGCCACTTTTGGAGGAAGGAACCAAAACTGTTGACACGTTGGCCACACTGATGTTGAGTGGATCCACGTACCATCAGATTGCTGAGATAATCATGCAATGCCGACATTTAAGAAATGCAGTTAAGTGTTTGTTCTTGAACGATGTGAATGAACAGTGTCAGAAACTCGATCTGCAACAGGAGTGCTGAGAATTCATCTGTACTTCGTACCCCACCTTCCAAGCACAAGGTAATTACTAACAACCTTATGGTTAAGGGCTAGTGTAGAAAGTAAAATGCATTCAGGTATTGTAATTTTTTTATAAAACCAAGAAAATTTAAAATTCACTTGAAATTGGAATTTGATCAAAATATTCTTTTGAAACCCTAAATAAAAAATAAATAAATATGATGCATTTTTTAATTAAGGGAAATAACATGATAACATACAAATGTATAATTTTATGTTCTAGAAAAACTGACTGTTAATCTAATTCAAATTGATTTCTAAATAAGAGTTAAAGAATTTCTCCTGGGAAAAGGTTATTACAGAAATGAAGGAGCGTGTCCCTGATGTACTGGATGTCCTAGCTGCTGTAGCAATTCCAAATGTCACAGCTCATGAAGACAGTGCAAAGCAGATTGCCCTACTTTGTACTGCATATGGCATACTAATGTTTACCCAGTGGAAAGAACTAATACAGAAGATGAACAGTATATTGCTCAGTACGGGACATGCTACTGAAAGGGTATTTAATGTATCACAATCAACTCTGCTTTCATGTGCATTATTGCAGCCATACCGGGGCTTTAAGGAGCATTATACTTTATTTTTGATTGGTTAAATTTTATCCGTAGTGAATCTTGCCAAAGACAAATGCAGATCTGGTAATTTGTATTTTAATATTCTGCAGACAAGGAAGAGGCTTAATAGAGCAGGTGTAACAATGACCAGGAGGGAAACCTACAGGAGCATCATGGATGACATTGGGCTGACTTAACAGGTAGATGAACATTAAATATGTTAAATAATAATAATTAACCCTCTTGAATTTACATGTTACTAGTTTTCCATTATTTACTATATGCTAGTAAGTCAGTCTTAAATTTGAAAATAAAGTAAACAATTTAGATACATATTGTTTTACTTTGGAAACTCTGGAACAATACCATATGTTCAAAAACAAATCTGTAATTAAAATGTATTGTGTGTTAAAAAGGAGTCGAGAATCTTTCAAGTGGCAAGGATCAGTCCTAAAGAAAAGTTATTAATGAAACTTATTTTCTTCCTTTTTAATATTTCAATCTAGACTAGGTCTATACAATTACGCATAGAACTTCATAAGCTGTCTAAAAGAAGTTCAATTAAAATGCTTTGTTCTTTATTTTTTAAATTAACAGTCACTATAAGAAGGCATGTGTCAGCTGGATGTGCACCCAGGTTATTCTTTGATAATCTGGACTTCAAGGTATTGGTTAACATCATACTAAAGAATCACCGCCACTCAGATATGCATTGGATTGCTCATTATGTACTGAACAGTCGACAGAGTACCCTCTGATCACCTCGATGATTCCAAACCTGTATCTGATGGCACACGATTTGAGAATATTGAGTACCTCCTGTGTCAAAGTGAACTTGAGAAGTTGCGAAGTGATTTCATTGTCTTAGTGGCCCGTATTCTTGCTGAATTCTTTGAATTCATGGAGCCTCTCAAATCTGCCATACCAAAGCATATCCAGCACAGGTAGGAATAACTATAGTTAATTATGATATGCTATACATGTATTTAGTTTAAAAAAGCCAAACAAGCCCAAAAAGGTTATACAATCCCACACTGGTCTGCCTTCTTGGCCATAGACATCTGTGATTTCCCTTTGTCCCTCAAGCATAAAAAGGAATTGGTCAAGACTATGCTTGGTAATATTAATATATAGATTTAGCCAGGGCTAAAAGCGAAGCTCTGGTTAATAATACTTGACGTAAACAAAAAAAAATTAAAGTCATGTAATGCGAAATGGGGAGGACAATGAAAATGGCATCAAGATCAATAGATCTAATTAGCAAAGAAACAAATTGCATGCGCGGCACACTTTTTTTCTAATTAGCTAAAACACAAATTTGCACTTGCAGCACGCTTTTTGGCTTTCTTCGCCGGTGTTTTGCACAACTACAAAGCTGTTTTGTAGGACTAAAACGTCAAACTTCCTAGTTACACATTATTTTTATGGAGAAATTGTCATATGTATTTACCAATTATTGTCTCCTGTGTTCATGCATGTTTGCTTTTATATTTCACTGCCACTCATTTTCACCTTGCTGGCCGCTAGCATTTCTCATTCTCACAGCCACTTTTAACTTTTATGTTTTCCTTCCTACAAAATTTGTCTCTTTTGTTTTCAATCACTCGCTCTAGCTCTTTCTCTGTTATCCACGTGAGTGTAAACATCAAAAATAACGTCGAAAAAGACACAACTTTTTGTTGTTGTTTTTTCTTTCTAAAAGTCCGGGCGGTCATGCGATTCTTTCCAAATAAAACCTTCGAGCTGCATTTGGGTTGCCATACCTGTTGATTGAATTATTTTAAATTGACATGCCTGTGGTGCGGACGGACAGTCGGTCGGTTAGTCGGTGTACGGTCATTTTCTTGGAAGGGTAGTTTACCACATTTTTCTACCCATGGTGCTCCGCTGCACGCGCTTCGCGCGCGAGAGCTCCGTTATCAAGTTTCTTGGTAGACTATACTTAATTTGCTCCTTTAATGATGGCATACAAGAGTTTTTCATGTGCCAGGGAAAGGTGTGGTCTATTTGTTATTTATTTGAGATAAGATAATGATATTTAACTTAAATTAAAAGAGCTTTGGTATATTGTGTTCAGGTACTCTGAATTCATGAACAAAAAGTCTGTCATTATTGGACTGCCAGTGGTACCTTACAATCAATCCAAGCATGCAGATGTTTGCCAATATCTTGAATATGTTCAAAAGCTACTGGTTGATATCTACAAGCCACAGGTAATGATTATTTATTAATTTTTTCAAAGTCAAATCATAAATTACAGTATACAAGATAGAAAATCATCAAATGTCAACACAAGGACTTCAATGCTAGGTCATAAACATATGCCTTTCATTCCCTGATCAAGCTATTAAAATATAATCGCTGAGTATTGAAAGAGCATAACAATTTCACTTGTCTTTGAACATTTGAACCTGATGTACCAAATAGTTTTGGAGAAACACTTTAAATTTTGCAAGGAATGTATGAGTTCATAGTGCTTTGCCACCCAGAAATTTTGCAGTTTTTGATGGCTGCTATTTCCTTTGTTACGTCTGATTGCAAAGAGCTGAAAATTGCACAAACTGCTCAGAATATCCAGCTGTTTCAACTTTTAAACCTAACTTTTGAATACACTGACATTTTCAATGGGTAAACTCTTATGCTAATGAGCAAAAATGCAAATAATGATGTCACCAAAGATTCGCGTATTGTTTTTAACAGAACCAAGACATGCCAGTTAATGCAGATGAAGTACTCAAGAATGTTAAAGTGCCACTGGGAGGAGACCTCCTTGGACGAGGAAGAATTACTGGGACCAAAAAGACTAGACTTGGGTGTGACAGTGCAGCAGAGAGATTTGAAAGTATTGTTGAGACGCCTGCACTTTGGCATGCAAAACAATCCTTTCTAGGGGTTAGTTTTTTAATTATTACATAATCTGATTATTCTTTATTTTAACCATTGTCTTTTGTCTTTTTTTTTCTGGTCTTGCCTATGTTTGATTAAAAGATACTTGAGTTAATGACTAAGTAACTTTATTCCCAATCAAAAATGAAAGTAGCAGGATGGGTCCAAGGGACAGCCATTCAAAATATTTAAAAAATATTTCTTTTAAAGTTATCTTCAATTATCTGCTCAGAATGCATGCAGGTGGTACTCTTTCAAGATTTAAATAATTTGCTTATAACACAATCCCATTTCCAGAGGCCAAGGCAGCACTTTTTCCTTAGTTACGTCGAATCTGAGCATTAGCTTGGTAGAGGTTTGAACTCACAACCTCCCACTTGACAAGCTGGCAGTCTTCCAGCTGTGCAAGGTCCAAGGTTTTCCATGTCCAAAATTAAATTGTCATTAAGGTCAATTTCTATAATTTAAAAACTAAAGAAATTGAACATATAGTTTAGGTTGAAAGCAACCTGAATTTCCTTTCAATTAGCAACAGATATTAGTCAGACAAAGTTCACTTATAAATCAAGTAGACAATTAATAAACATTGCTCATTCTTTTTATAGTATAGCTGGGAGCAACTTTACAAGCCAACTCCTGCAAGCGGTAGAAGAGACATTGGCACCTTGTATTACTTTGGGCAAAATTTTGGACTTGTTAATGTGCCACCAAGGGTTCAAGACAACTACTCAAGTTGTGAGTCACTGATGTTGTCAGCAACAAAGGCTTACATTTGTGCAGCATTCATGGCATGGGCAGGGACAACAGACACTGCTACCTCTCCATCATGGGTAAGCTCTATTGCAAAGGAGAGAAATTCAGCAGTCCAGTGGGAAAGCCTGCAAATTCAAATTGGCAAGTTTGTTGATGAGTATGTGTTGACAAAGTTTGATATTGAAAGAGCCTGGCAGGAGCAGCTAGAACAACAATGCCAACAGAAAGAAAACCAAAGGAGATCTGCTGGCAATGATGATGAGATGACTGCAATTTCATCCCCTGCTCAGCAACCATACTCTTCTGGTATGTCTATAAACAATACTTTAACATACAGTACAATGCTGTGTGTGTGAAAATAAAGTATTAAACTACATTATTTCTATTTAATGTCACTATTCCGCTTAAGATACGCATGAAAAAGTAACACAACTAAATAGCGCACGCAGGCAAATAAGACAATTACTACAAGATGGCGTAATAAGGGGGGGACACAGCCCTGTGGCAGGTTCTAGCGACTTCAGGTTATGCGCACAGCAAAAATACAAGCCTCACTTATCACCCCACTACCGTGGGGTAGGACAAGAGTATTGAAAGAGCCTTTCTTATCTCCCCAGCGCCGCACGGGCTGGATCGGACAAGATTAAGGCGAATGAATAAGATGGCAAGACACAAGCAATGCCAAAAGCTTGGGGGATGTCGCAACGCAGACTTAACCGCCACAGATGCATGAAATGCATCCCCCAAGCAACCCAGACAAAGTTTAAATAAAGTCCCCTGACACACTAGCCATTTGGGGAACAGCAGAGAGCACGACAGCTTCAGGAGTATGGATATACATTTGGTAACAGACTAACAACCAACGATCTCGAACACATTTATAAAGCAGTCTGGTAAGCACGCAGCTGCCGCAGTAGACGCTGTGCCTATGTAAAAACTATGGCCTTTAAAACTTATGTATGGGAGTCCTGCGTGGCAAGTAGGGACCCGAAGTAGTTAAGTGACAAAGGGCTGCGTTAGTGCCCAACCCGACCGAAAGTAAAACAGTGACCAAACCGAGGCTGGGCAAGCATAAATAACGTTGTATCAATGAAAAAAAAAAGAAAAAAAGGCACAGTAAAGAACACAAGCTATTAAGAGAGATTGCCCCGTCTAAAACTGCCAGTTTGATTGACGTAAGCCTAAGACACAGGTGCTGCGGGCAAGCCACACTTGGAGAGAAAGTCACGCAATCGGTGCAGAGGTTAAACTGAGAATTAAAACTACAAGCCCCAGGGACATTAACTTGCTACAACGAGGAATGCGAAATAGACTAGCGTGAATGCGGCCCAGATCATGGAAAAAATATACTGGACAACCAATCAGCTTTCCAGGACAGAACACAATAATTATTATTACTAAGCGCAAACCTTGCTTAGGCCTGTGTGGGCTGGCACTGATTTGAGGTGTATCTGCCTGATACGAAAACCCTAAAAACCCCTTGGGAAAAAAAAGGGAACGTATTCTCCCACAAATGCAGGTACATAACCCCTAGAGAAAGGGGCAACCAGTGCCAGCAAAATTCAAGTCAGATAATTTGTAAATGCAGTTCATAAAGTGCAAAGTCCATGATGCATAAGGGAACAGGTGCCAAGGCAGCAACAGAATTCTTGCAGCAATGCAGACGGCAGGCGAACTCTGACATCACAATTCTTGGTGGCAAAGAGAACAAGTGACACATCCCACATGGCCAGTGGAGGCAGAAGGTAAGTGAGACACGGGCACCACGTCACCCAGAGGGACAAACCTAGCGGTTGGATGCAGAGGTACAGCAGTGCAGGCATACAAGAACAAAACAAAAAGCACAGAGTTAAACTGAGAAGGGATCAGAATAAGATCACCAAATAACCAAAAGAGGCAGGATTTTTTTTTTGTTAATTTATTTCAAATATGAAAGGAACTGATGAGTAAAAAGTCAGCTATGACTGATAACGTCTGGTGATCGAATTGGGTTATCAAGGAATGGACCACTGACAGATGGCCACAAACACTTCCCAGCAAAGCTGGATTGGACACGAGTGGCGCTATAATAATAATATAATAAGGTAAGGGGGTACTAAAACCCCTACAATTCAGGCCATATCTCTTGCGATAGCTACTCTGTAGTTATGGCATTCCATTGGTATCTGCACTTTACCCGTCCAAAACAGATTGGGACCTACTAACGAGGTAAAAATTTGTGTACGCGCTTGAAGTAAAGTTAGATTTGCTAGTTGGAATTGAAGTTAACAGTAGCTGCAAACATCATTATGCAAGTTGTATATGTGAGCAGGAATATGATTGTGCTAATATTGCCATGTAGATAACAGCTTAATAGTCATACCCCCAGGGAAATATAATAAGTACAGAAGCCATTTAAGTGAGAGAAAAAAGGCGGCATGGCATGCTCTGTATGGTTACACCAGCAGAAATAACTACAGAGCTTCTTTGTTAGGGTATGCTAACTAAGATAAG